ATATACAGGTGGAAACACTTCCTTATACAGTCTCTGTACAGATTCAGATTGGGATTGTTATGGAGAGGAAATTGCACTGTATTACATAACACAAAACAGTGAAGCACATAGTGGCAACAGAGAAAGTGAGTGGCTGCATCTCTTTCATAACACAGCCAAAAGGCACTGTTCACTGATTCAGAACAGCCATTTGTCATGAAGAGAACTGCAGTCAAAGGTAAGAACAATGACAAGGAAACCATGGAAGAAATCAGTGGGATACATCTGAAAGGAGAGAGACATGGGGAAGACAACAGGGAAGTAGGCTGCAGGTGCATCATAGATGCATAGTAAGAAACCTTAAAAGCAGAGATCTAGCTCTGCAGTACAACTAAAGAGAGAAGTTGCTTTAAGAGCCGATTATAATGACAACAAGAATTGTGAAGGGAGTGAAAGTGAGCAAAGTTCTTAGTAAAAAGGGAAGACTGCAGTATTGAGGGAAGGACTATTGAGGACGCACACAATGCCTTGCTTGCACTTTAAGGGAGAGTCAGAAGAGGGGCAAGGGGCAGGGGAATAAAAATAAATAAATAAATCAGACTGACCACTGCTTATGGACTTGACTAGGAAGGATGATCAGCAGCTGCAGCAGCAGAGAAGATGTGACAAAAAAAAAAAAGTCCTGAGTGCCTCTTATTTTTGGCATTATTGTCATCCAGGCTGGTTGATGGCCAGGCCATATAGCAGACTGAGTTGTGCTAGCCTCTTTGTGAAAGCCACTGGTTTTGAGGATGGAAGGGAAGAGAAGGGAAGAGAGAGAAGGTGTCTGCAGTAAGAATGGGAAATTAAGGCATCTCTCCACTTCCTCTCCAAGCAAAGAGAACAGAAATAATGAGGTGAAGCACCACAAAGACGGAACAGTACAACTGAGAAGGAAAGGAGCAAGGCTTATGGTGATTTACAAGTCAAGGAGGGCAAAAGTGAGACATGGATTGGTACTACAGCAAACATCAGTGTTAAGTAAAGACAGGTATATATCAGATATCAAAGCAATCAAAACCCTGGAGAGCAGTCTTATTTCCCCATATGATACATTGCTTTTTTAGCCAGTTAGATTCCCTGTTAGATTTCCTTTAAGAAGAAAGTTATTCACTACTGAAGTTGTAATGTGTGCTTTTTTTTCCTTGTAAAAGTTACTGGGTGCTATGCAACTGATTGCATGTCAGCACTGGATAAAGTGACTAATGCTTTCAACTTGATTTGCGAGGCAATAACTGTAATGAGAAGACAGAAAAAATGAAGTAGCCATCAATAAGCTCAACTACTTTCATTTCTGTGATTATTTTTAAGCCTTTGCAGTAGCAAGGTCAGTGAGAATCTTACTGCCTCATGGAGAAAACTTCTTTTCTTGCCTTTAAACTGTAAGATATTTTCAGATCTTAGAATGTAGAAAATTTAATTTTTAACCAGGCAAATTCGAAAGAGAAATGTTTATAAATGTGCTGTGTAATACGCTCCATGTTTTCTTTCTTGTCTCTTACCTAGACATAAGGTTTGAAGACGACGAATCCCTAAGCAGGCACTAATCTCTCTTGTATGATTCCAAAAGAGATCAGCATGATTACTCCTGTTAGAAATAAGTATTCACTAGACTGCAGGAGGAGGGAATGAAGAGAACTTCCAAACTGGAATTTATAGCAGTTGGTAGGTTGCTAAAAAAAGTTATCCAAATTAAAGTAACAGCCAGACAAGATGAAGAATTCATGTCTGTCCTGCACATAGCAAGGCTCCTCCTTTGGCACCAAACTAGTAAAGCAATTAGGCAAAGAGCACCTACATTTTATCCCCAGATTAACAGCTCACCTGAGGAAATTGAGTAAGCATGTGGTGGGGAATGCCCATTATATTGTGTAGGTAGTCAAACGTCCGCCTGAGCCTCTTTTTGCTTGCAGTTAAAATCTTGGGGGTTTTAAACACAATATGTTGAATTTCATTACGCTGAAAACCAAGTTCAATCTGACATACCTGAGAAAGAACACAATTTTATCTTCAAAAGTCAACTACAGCAAACTTAATTTTTTTTTCCCAACTAACCTAACACAAAATTCTTCTACCCTTTGTCACTCAGCAACATGAGTACAATCCACAATAGTATCTGTGACTCCAATTCTCTGAAGCAGAGAGTGAAAGCTGTTTATCTTTACTTAAGGGATATTTTACAAACAAACTATACTTTCACCCAGAGTGATAATTTCTCTGAATGCTATCTATTTTTCAGTTTGTCTGATATATGAACAAAAAAGCTATGTCTTTGTATGCAGGGCAGTTACAAGCATAAGACTTCTCCCCAAAGAATCTTTGTTAATACTTCTGTTAATGTGCTATTTCTCTTCTAATATATTCAAGTGATATCTGTTTTACTAAGGAGCATGATTTCAATCCAGCAATTTTTAGACATGAAGTCCATTTAATTGGAAAGAGACATGCAGAATACCTGGTATATTCAGTCTACTTTACAGTCGGTTAAGGCCTGAAGTAAGATGTCTTGTTCAGAAACTGCCCTGACTTCAATTACAGTTTCCCAAAAGGAAAATATAACACATTTTTTCAATAAAATCATGGGTACTCCTCCCAAAGGGCAGGATGGCAAGCAGTTCGTTGAGTTGCAGAGAAAGGAATTTAGCATACAAGAGTGTCTGTCTGGTAGTTCATCCATTTATTCTTTCCTCCAGTGACATTTACAAGCAGCTTATTTTTAGTTATCAGGCCAACGTGCTCACAGTCAACATAACCAGACTTTCAAATCCAGCTCAGGTGCTTCTACAGTTGGCAAGAAGGTGGTACATTTTGTTTGCCCGCTTTGATCTGCCAAGACCAAAGCTCTTTTCTTAGACTGCCTGGCAAACGCGAAGGGAAGGGTTTGGTATCAGGGTTTTGAAGCTGCCTTAGGACTTTCAGGCCTGGACAGGCACTTGTTTCTAGAGATTACTATATTCAGGTCTCTCAGCTACTGCTTATTCCCTATCTGCTTTACAAATATTTGCCTATCACAAAAAACATTAACAAACAGATAACATTGGAGTATAAAGAGATGTGTGCACGTAGCGGCGTTTTTCACAGATTTGAATTGGGAGGCATAACTTGCTACACTGAAAACAAAGACTAAGACCTGATGTTAAATCAGTAGAGATGTATAGCTGGCCCGACTGTACACTTAATTGTGGCAAGTCTCTTGAGCTTTCCACTTGCCTGAATTTCCGCTCTGTGAAACAGGACAACAATAATTCTCTCAACTGACATGGAGCTCAAGTGCAAATCCCCTTGATTATTCTCAATTTGACTTCAAATTATTTATGTTCAGCAACTCCCCAGACAGTGTATATTGATATCCTTACTGTGTACACCCTAGCAATGTTCAGCGTGCTCTGCATGATTCCCAGCAAAGGCAATGATAATGCAAATTTTCCAATTCTACTTTATCAGTGGATCTCTGATTGGACTTGATGAGACCTCTAAAGGATGGAACAACCCATTCCTGAGCTCATTTACTTCATGACTGGTATCTTTTGATAACCAGTATCAGTTGTAGCAGTTATTTCTAAATGGTAACAGCCCACTTGGAACAAGGGATGCCACCAGATCACTTTGGAATTGCTGTTATATGGTTTCACTTGCAGAGTGCCACTTTTCCACCGCCAACCTAGGACATACAGGACAGAATCCTGATCAAGTCTGAGACATTCAACTTCCAGAAAAGCTGGAGCTTCTGAGTATCAGTAGATTCCAACAGTGAGGACCTAAAAATCCTTCCCCTCGCTCCATAACATTTGTTTAAAATAAGAATGGTACGCTATATACTTTTGACAGTTGGACAAGACAGTCGCACAGAACTCAGGGTCTTAAAAACACATTCATTATAATATACTGAATCCCCAGCCTGTGGAAATAACGTTCATTAAAAAGAAAGCACAATTAATTGGAACAGCCTGCTACTTTCCAGTCTCCTCCCTTACCACACACACATTCCAGATTTTAAGACTCCCAGTGCTTAATAGTTTCAGAACAGTAAGTCTGTCTGCAAATTATATATTTTAATTCATAGTTACATATTATAGGATAATGGGATTTCTCAATTTGTTACACTGCATCATGCTCTTTGGCCTAGCTGGCTTTAAAGCACAATAATTAAAGCAATACACAGTTACATTTTCAAAGGGAAAAGGAGTCCCTGTGGGTTTGAAGTTATTTACCCAACAGTTGTTAATAACGACCATCTGCTATCAGATAATAGGTGTCAAATGCACATTTTGGCAGACTAGCTACCTGCCAAGAGAAAAATAATCAGCTGCACATTTCTTGCTCCTAAATCCTCACAGACAATCCAAGTTAGCAAACAACACAAGAATAATAATAAAGGGAGGGAACAGGCCCTATTTTTCGCTCGTTGTAAAGAAACGGGTAGCCATTTGTGTCAACACACACCAACTTTCAGCAGAAAGTGGCCCAAATGACGTTTCTAACCTACATCAGACTAAATGATAGAATAAGATATTGTTCCATGTATGCTGCAAGCTTGCTGTAAGCTTCCTACAGAGGAAAAGAACTGGTTTGATAAAGTGCTCAAAGTTATTTTACATCTTCACTAAATTATTTCTTTATATACAGGATTTTCCTGCAAGGAGTTTTACCTTCTGTTGACTCAAACTGTGTGGGTACGCTTTTTTTTTTAACATCTACTAATAAGCTCACCTGAATATTTTCTTTTACAGGCTCTAATTTGCCAGTCAGTAGCCTTGGAAGACGAATTACCAGATCCTTTGTCTGCGATTAGAAAAAATAAAACATACAAGGAAAACAAGATCATTAGTGAAGCATGTCTGTGAATCAGTCTCTGAAACAAAGATACAGATTTCACATTAACATTTTTTTTCCTGAATTCTAATTCTAGTTGGAAAAGAACTTTCTCTTGCATTTCATTTTATCTCTAGCCCAAAGATGAGTTCGTATGAAGCAGCAATCTGATAAGAAGCAAAAAGTTACTCAAATGTCATGTTCCATTTGGAGAGAGGGGGGGAAAAAAAAAAACATAGCTAATGAAAAACAGATGGGAAGAGGGAGTAAAAGCATACCCCAAATGCAGAAAGCATACTGAAGTGCTTACTGTTTCTCAGTGCTTAGGGTTGTTTCTTCCCATCTCTTTAAAAAAAGTAAAGAAAGTACTACCTGATAGAAGTGGCAAAAAGATTTTTTTTTATTGCAGTACTTTATTTCTCTACCTCAGGTTTGGTTACGCAATAATATTATGGTAGCATAAGAAACTACCCCACATCTGCTAAACCCCAGGAGTACTCGAAGTCCACCATGACTACAAGGCAGCGACTAAACACTTTACCAGAGCAGTCTCTTACCGCAAGCCTGAAAAAGTCCAACTAATAGAAGAATACAAGATTCTAGTTGGCACTGGGCATCATCAGCCACTGCAGGGAAACAACTAACACACTTCCCACTTACTCCAGGAAGCTAGATCCTATGAAGATCCCAAAGCAGGGTGTGAAACACCTGCTAAGCACTTAGCAAGGTAGTGCTCACCAGGAAACCCAGAGGTTACTCTTGACCAGTTGAGCACATGGTTCGTCACGTAGGTGGATATGGCATTCGTTCATTAGACTGTTTTTCACCGATAACTTTACTATGTTACAGTATCCTGAAGAGATGAAAAGTCAATTAATTTTCTACAAGTTAAGGAGTTGCTTGCTGTTGTTAGCAATACTTACATACAAGTGTTGGAAGGTCATCACAAGGCCCTGTGTTCCAAGGCCTCGCTACTGTCACTGACAAAGTACCCAAAGACTTTTGGTATATAGCCTTTACCTTTCTTACACTGAGGCCAAGTTCATTTTTGAAGAAACCCAGTCTGTTATCCAGTCTTTCCACTGAAAACAACAGCAAATATGGAGCTCTTGAGACCATGTGAGCAATTTCTGCCTTACCAAATTTTTTTGATTTTAGGTAAGCCACTCTAGAAAGAGAACAAAAAACAAAATAAAGTCCAGTGATGAAAATTTTATTGCCTCCATGTATTTAGTACTTGCTTAAATTCCTCAGTGATATCTTACAAACGGACAGATGTTCTAGAATTAACATGCAACTCTGCCAAAAATAATTAGGGGGGGAAAATCTGCAGTTATCATAAAAGCAAAATATCATCCCTTCCAATTAATTAGAAGCAAAATAAACCTTAGAGCAGAATGTCAATACTGAAGATAGATTTTAATTCCTTCCAGCTGTACTTAAGCAGATAACTATGTTAACCTATGTTTAACTACCAGCCTGTCTCCTAGATTGCAAAAACATTAATAGATCATCATAGGCTACGGACATGAAGATACACACAGCCTTTTGCTATTTTAATGAATTCCATTTCTACTGCTGAAAGAACAGAGCACTATACCTCATACATCTCTGTTTTGCCAATAGCACTGGAGCAGAAATATCATACAACAATGCCATCTGCAGAGACACCATCCAAAAAGACATTTCTAAATCAGCTGAACTTACTTTTGTTATAACAGGTCCCTACTTTCAGTTATTGGTCCAAGGATTTAGTTACAAAACATCTGGTTGTCAGAATGGTGAAGGGCTGATCAAGGTTTTTATGTTTAACAGAGGTTTCTTTCTTTCCAGCTCAAGACTTTTTCCAATCTTTGTTGAATTCAGTGAAAGTGAAATCCTATTTCAAGTACTACTTGCAGGAGATTATTACCATAGCTCCCAGAAAAGGAACGTGGGGGGGAAATAGCACAGAAAATAAAAGAGAGAGAGACACGATTAACCCATGTGCCAACATTTAGGAACAACTATACTTCAATTTGAAGAGGTTTCTTTGGTTATAGATGAGCCTGCACAGAAGTATCTGCTGTCAGATGAACTTAGGACATACAGGAATTGATTTTATCTGATAGTAATTAGGATACTAAACAGATCGCAGAATGTCTTGCAGAAGCAGGCATGCAGCAAAAGATGCTTGCTCTTGCAATGAGGGGGGGAAAAAAAGGTGGTGGGGGGGAGGGCAGTGTTAAATTATATCTTGTGGAGAGAGAGAGTGAAAATACCTTCCAGACACAACCACCTCCCTCCCTCCACAAACCCTCCAGAATGAAATCATCGTAAGCCAACAGTATCTAGACAGAAGATCTAAGAACAAGCTCTAGGGGACCCATTTTTAACTGAGGAGGTAAACCAACACTGAAGGTAACAGCCTAGGCTCTAAACAATGCTAGTGGAACTGGCTGCAGGAACCTCAGAGACTGGGGCAGGGTGGAGGGGAGAAGAAATGCAGGACACAGAACTAAGCAATTGTTCCTTCAGAAATTATCCCATTATGTTTTGAACCGCTGCAGCTTAGCCCCACTGTGCTTCTTGCATTCAATTTGTCAAGTGCACAACTGCCAAGCATCCCTTCCTAGAAACATAACTAAATGACAGGAGATTAAAAATACAACAAAATTCTTTTTTTCTCCTGACTCCTCTCCTTTGTTTTCTGTTAACAACTCATTAAGATTCACACTTGAAATATTTTTTCGCAACCTTGAAAGGCAAGAAACTTGAAAGAGGGATGGCAGCGTTGTCACCACCTGACTCCAGAAGCTGGTATATTAAAGAGGCACAATCAATTGACCGGTATAACAAAGATTTGTGATAAGTCTGCAAGTGTTGGCACCAAGGTTAGCCCTCATTCTACTACAGGGGTCAGCAGTTCCATATAGCATGTTAACTGTTTTAAGTCATCATTAATAATACTGTAAAACAAAGCATCTGGTGCAGCTGCAGTACTGACACTGATTTGCAACTGTCAGAATTGTTGTGAATTATGGAATGTTTTGACTTTTACAGTGTTTATTTGAAGTCAAATGCCAAATCTATTAAAATTTGTGTTTTGTTTCCTGGCAACATGGAATCCATAGCAATAAAACATTCCAGAGTGATGTAACCAATACCACGTCCATCTGTACTGAAGTGTTTATGTAAAGGTATACTCAGCTTTCGGAAGACAGCTATCTGAGGTACACTCACTTCATAGCCTGCTATACACCCTCTGCAGCACAAACTTTAAAGTCTTTAAAGGTTGCAGAAAAGCATTCAACAACGCCAAACACAGATACATTTACTGAAATCAATCAGTAGAATATTCAGAATAAATTGGATTGCCCTGTTCAGCCCCTATGTCACTAAGCAGACAGCACCTCAGGACAGGCACTGAATAGCAATTCTGACTTCACAGGAGAATTAGAATTTTATCACAGCAAAAAAATACTTTATTCAGAAAAGTACAAGCAACTCATACAGTCTGGACTCAGGGTATTACTTACTGTTACTTTTTGCACATTTTCAAAATGATACAGATTCTTTTTAGACACTTTTTCTGAAAGGCCACTTACTACTGAACAGGAAGACGGAAGGAACAAAAAAAGAGTCCGATTTAGGTTAGGAGTGAGTCTCCTAATGTGCCTATTTCTAAAAAACTGTTTTCTCAGATTTATGTCTTGGGCAGGTATTATGTGCAAGGTTCTTTCTCTTCTGGCATTTTTAAATACTGAGATGTTTTGAATTCATTACAAAGAACACTTAAAAAAAAAAAAAAAGTTCTATAAAAGAAGATTGTTGAATTAATCCAAACTTGTCTGAGCTAATTTTGAGAATAAAAGCCCATTCTACTGCAGTACTTATACAATCAATGCACCTAATGAAAGTATGAATCAGAAAAATAAAAAAAGTCCACTTCACTATCTAAGTGTCATGAGAGCTACACAACAAACAAATGTAACCAGCTGAAAAAAAGTCAAGACATCTCTATGACTGCAAGACAGCTTAGTTTAAAAAAAAAAAAAAAAAAGTACACTCCTACAGTCTGGTATCGGTACCTTGAGAATCCCAGGCCTTAATGCGATCCCACGTGCAAAAAAATAACAATGAAAAAATAAAAAACTGGAAGGTCGCAGTGCAGCAAAGGGACGCAGACAACCTCTGTGAATTCATTAACCAACAAGGAGAAAGAGTGGAAGGAGCACACCTGAAAGCCATCACACCAGCCCTACAGCAAAGAACACTTGCAACAAAGTGACTGTGGATTCATAAAAATATAGGCGCTCAAATCGTGTGCTCAGTTATTTCAGATAACTGAAGAATCAGAGCGCAACGTTTTGGGGGAAAAAGGTGTATCCCTTTCAGCATGCACGTTTTACAATGCAAAACAAGTATTTCAGAATATATCTTTTAAAGAATGAATATCTTGAATATTTTAAATTCAGGATATTTAAGTTTAGGAGAGTTTTTCTTTAAAAGTAAAGGTATTTCTGCCACAAATGCAACACTGATCTTTAAAGTTCTAGAAAAAAATCCTCCAATCCTCCAAAATTAAAAATATAGAAACATTAAGGACATGCTTCTATGAATAAATATACACGGTTACAATCATAAGACCTCAACCAGACTGATATCAGCATAGGCATCTCAGCCACTGCAGTATGATGTCCAGCATCCTAGTTTAAGCCTACTGCACAAGCAATTGAAACCTGCACTCAAGCGGCCAAGATACAAGCACGTCTGGCCAAATACCATGATGATGGTTGATTTCTGACGCAGGGAGAACGGACAGCTGCTATCAGTAACATCTACCATGCCAGGCAGATCTGCCACCTCTTCTCAATATTCTTGTTTTGACCACCACTAACCCTCCAACTTAGCTTCAGTGTCACAAAACTACTTCATACCAGTACTATCCAATTGTATCTCTACAGCTGACCAGACAAAGAATTGTAAATAAAATAACTGCCATTGAAGAGGAAGACTCACTGTTGGCAGACATTACCAAAAAGAGACAGATAAAGAGCAACACTATTAAACAGCTCGATTCAGACAACACTAAAGTTAGTGGAAACAGTAATTGGACTTTACTCAACTTCAGATGCAGATCACATCACTTTGAGTCATGCTGCTGGAGAAAGAGGAATATATGTATCAATGTCTTATTTCTTCAGTGCATGCTTTCAGATAAGTAGCCCTTATATTCAGAAGGCAGCATTTTCTGAAGTTAAGAGCTCTCTAATTAGTTGCATTAACTACAGTCTGCACTACACAGCATCTAGACTTCATACTTTAAAAAAGCAGGGGTAGGAGGTGGTGATGCAGAAAATAAAAGCAGTGTTAATATTGTTTGACAGTAAACGGAAAAAAATAGCTTTTTTCCCCCCTGCGATCTCAGAAGACAGACTTATAGAGACCATGATTTCTTCAATAAATAATTCCACCTTCATAAAAGAATAAGCTTTAAAAAGCAAACTTCACAAAACAACTAATCAAATAATCTTTGGTCTGAGATATGGGACCTTCTAAAGAGATTGGTATTTACCCTTATGTGCAGACAAACTGCATGACACTATGTGACAGCCTAATGTCATACAGCTGGGAACACACACACACACACACACACAAAAGTTAACAGTGGTCTCCTCCTCAGTTTGAGCTGGAAAACAGAAAAAAAAAATCATGTCACCAAAATCCTCTGCTGCTGTTATAAATAATGAAAGGAAAGATCAGACCTGCTTCTTTTACTGCAGAATTCACAAGGTATAAGCAGACATTCCATCTAGAAAAGCAGTTCCAAAACATGACTGGCAAAGGGTAAATACCAGTGCCAATCATCATTTCCTGCACAGCACTACATACACAGTCAAGTCTGACAATAAAAAAGGGGTTAATATAGTTCTACAAACCATTAAGTAAAGCCTCAGAGACCATCATTTTGGAATCAAAGCTGACAGCAGCAAAGCAAGCAGCTTAGGAAAGCAAGCTGCTTCCCCCTCTCTGTGGCAGAGAGACAGGGATCAGCAGCTTTAGCTTCAACAGCCCATCTTCACATCCATGCCACGAAGGGTGGGCGGTGACATGGGACAACAGATACTGCTGCAGTGTAAGTGTAGGCACATGTGTAGATGGAGGTTGGCAAAATCGTACTGAGGAGTAGCAGTCACTGCTTGCACCTCCAGATGTGGCAGACAAGGAGACTTGTTCTCCAGGGCTGGCCCGGACCCTTCACTTCTGTGCAGCAACAGAAGGCCTCCATCTAGCCACGTCCTGGCCCATCTCTCTTCCCTACTCTTTAGCTCATAAACGTTCAGGCTCCTCACAAAAGGACTGAAAGGAGTGGAGGTGCAGGGTATGAACGGCAGCAGAGGCTGGGGTTGACTCAAGTTCCCTCATCCCCATCCAGAGCACTACTGATGCCTTCCATTGTTCCTTCTATACTCAACCAACAGCTGACTACATCCCCCTCTCCTGACAGCTCCTCATCTACTGGAACAAACCTAGCTCTTCAAAACTCATAGCGACCTTCCCATTGCAACCCACTCGGTCACGCAGTTTAATTAACCAATAGTATGCAGCAAGTGCCTGCAGAGACGTGGCTAAACAGTCCCACATCCAGAGTTTAGCACACTTAAGTAGTAGATTTAACATGGTCCCAAACATATATTTAAACATGGACAAATCAAGACATGAAATTTTAGATAAGTTATTCCCGGAACAGCCTCCTTGGTAATTCAAGCCCAAGCTACTACCAAAAGGGATGGTCTTATGTCATTCTTCCTCCCTCCCAAAGTATGTTCCTTTTCATTCCTTGCATGGACGCTAGCAGTACATGGCTGTGCACCTCACTAGTCTGACTGAAAAACTTATGCAGTAAAATTTATTAATGGTCAGTAGTCAGGTAGATCAGGGAATACACTCTGACTTACCACATTACCATCACCATATGTTAAGAATGAACTATGGGAAGGGACAGAAACATGAAGCCATGGATCAAGTGAGGAAGGAAACAGCAGCAACACAGGTTTAGACAAGGTCAAGCTGCTTGTGAAACTAGATCTTGAACCAATGGGCTTAGGAGCCTTTTGCTATTTTAAAGGCTTACCGAGTTTCTAGAGCTTCCAGATCTTCTGCAAGGATGTATGGATTTTTGGTCAGGAATGGTCCCAGTTGATTGTCTTCTACACCCACATCCTTAAGAAATAGAAGTATTTTTCTTATATCTTTTTCAAAGTCCAAGGTCAGTAAGAGCTGGCCTGCCTTTTGACGTTTCTCCACCTGGGATAAATCAACTCCTACAACAAATAAAATCAGATATTGTTCTAATTAGGCACATGCCCTATTTCCTATGAATGTTTCAGAAAGGCATGCTGAAGTTTATACGGCTACTCCTTTTTTTGCACTGATTTAGCATACTTTACTTGCTCAAACACAGCAAGGTCACAATATCTTGTATGCTGTGGAAAGATTCCAGATAAAACAAGCAGAATAGTTTTAGAGGTGACTGCTAAGTTTGTTTTCTGAAGGAGGACTTCTGCAGGGAATCCTGCATGTAAGCTATCAAGCACACTACGATTTGCCACATGCATAGACCTATTTTTGTTGCGCAGAAGCATGTGAGCAGGGGAACTCCCAAATCCATCAGGAGTGAAGGGGACAACTTTGCAGTACGGTGCCTTTGGTTAACGGCTCGCATAAAGTGATTTGCTTTGGACTGGGTCACATTTCCCCATCCTCTTTCCAGTACTTCATTACACTTTTGGGAAAAAAGGAAGGGGCCAGTAGCCTTGACCTCAACCATCCTTGTCGGGCAGTCCAAGTGCTTTTTGATAAGCATTAAGGCACTCTCCCATTCCTTCCTTCTTTCCTCCTCAGTTTACTATACCCTACTTCAAAGGCTCTGCATAGCAACAGCTCTGCTTCCTTCTGGAAAGGGAGAGTTGCAATTTCATCTGCAGCAAATTAAAACATCCTTACTCAGGAAAAAGAAGAGATCAATCATATCACACAAAGCGTTTGTCTCCTACTCCTCCAGAAGCAGCAGGAGATGCCTCTTTCTAGCATCGGCAAGACTAAGGGGCTACAGCTAGCCAACCCTGTCTCAACTAATATGGCACCGCTAGTAAGTCATGCAGGCGCATCCCTCTTTCCATTCACCCTGTACATCATTCAGCTGCCCTTAGCTGTGGATCACTCTTCCTATAAAGTTTCCCATTTTCAAGTTTACAGGGAATCAGTAAGATCACAACACAAACTAAAGAATCTCCAAAGTACCAGGTGTAGGCAAACCACCTGAACAAAACAACACGTACCTAGATGTACCAGTTTTGCCAGGGTTTCTGAGTGGTCAACATAATCTCGGAGTGTGGAAGACTGGAGGGGAAGAAGCGGTTCTGCAATGATCTGCACGGCTTCTTCCTCAGATATCTCCTCCAAAGCAGATGAAGGTGGGATGTCATCCCAGTCTAACAAACAGAGATGGAAGAGTCAGATGCATTTTGTGAAAGATAAAGCTGCTCCCCCCATCACAACAGATCTCTTCAAATCCATCCCAAAACGCAAGAACTGAACAGCCAATACATAGTCATTTGAAGATATATGAATGTATAGATTCTGCTACTACTTTTCAAGCCCAAATGTCTCCTTCCAACAAGTTAAAAATCTCAGTTTGTCTCTGTCACATCTCCTTGTCACTGCCCATCAACTGTTGATTACATGACCAAATCTGAACTTTGTGAAGGCAGGCTTGCTGGCAACTGTCTCCCACTCTGATCACTGCAGACAACGGATCACATCACCTTCTTGAAAAAACAGTCTCCTTTCATATCTTCACAAATACATTCTTGCCTGATCATATTCAGGTCCAAAACTACGGCAAAGATCATTTTCCATAACCTGACATCCCCACTACCTCATCCCCCTTCTGAATGTGATGCCTGAATTGCAGTTGTTTTAACTTTGAAGGTTCAGCAATCTCCTACTGAGCAATCTCCTGCTGCGATGAGCATCTCATTTGACTCCCACCACCTCCGATAGCTAAAGAAACCAAGCACTGTTTTCTACTCAAGAAGGTTTCCAAGTGAGCATCATTATGCTTGTTTCCCCTTGAGTGTCCAAAGCCACAAAACTCAATACCTTTTCTTAGAAACACTTCTCTCAACTCGCTTATTGCATATTGGCAGAGCTCACAGAAGCTAGAGCGAGCCTGCTGTTTCGCAGGCTGACCCACAGTATCTACCTCAATTATCAAACTGGTAGCTGATCAACAGCCTTCGTTACAAACTCTTTAGGATGGGCATCTTCTCTGTCCTGTACCTCAGCACAATGACTAGAGCTTCCTGGAGACAAGGCAATATTATTCTTTATCAAAAAGGCAAAAACAAACCACAACTACCAAGACAAGTTCTCATAAGCAGGAAGAATCTATTGCACTAGGAAGAGTTGCATAGAAGAACTGACAAGAGCCACAATCACAGGGGTTGAGTTAGCCTATCTTTTTTCAAAGCTTCAGAAAAAAAAAAACCAAACCAAAACAAAAAAAACAGTAAAGTGTTTTTAGTGACATTTACACCTTAAACAGCAAAAGAAACTCTCTAGGAATCTATATGGATATGAAACACTTCCGTTAAGGTTGCTGAGGATCAAATCAATATATACCAATACCCATTCCGGTATAACATGCACTTTTTTCAGCTCCAAGTTCTTTAAGCCTCGTATTAGAAAACAGATCTTAAGAAAACAGCTATCAATTATTTTTCTTCCATTATATTACTGCCAACTGGGCAGAAGGCTCCACACACACACAGAACTGTTAGTCTGCCTGCAGATAACAATCTGGCACATAAATAAACTGCACTGCAGGTGCAGACCCATTTGAGCTGGCTGGCTGGTCAGTTCCGGTGCAACACTTGCTTCGAGAACCAGCTGCACAAACATACAGACCTCAGCCGCAGCACTGAGCCACCCCAAAAATAAGCTCTGCAGCATCCAAGTTGGCTGTGCTCGCAGCTGAATCTGGATGTATGAGACTGCTCAATAACTCCAGAGAAAGTTTCCTCAGCATACCAGAAGCGTTTTCAGAGAACGGTATTTTTTACCCTCACTTATTTCTGTAAGAGCAAAGAAGTGACGCAACTTGCTCAGGGTGACAACAGCAAGGAGACCTTGCATTTACCTCCCTTTCCTCAGGAAACAGGTTGATAAGCATTTCTCATCATGGCAGTGCATAAGCAGGCTTCACACTCTGCTGCCTCCTACTGTTCATTCCTGATCACTAACGACCATCTCTCAGCTGTGTGGCTGTTGTGTAAGCTGGATCAGCGAGGCCTCCTCCATCCCTGCTCAAAAAACACAGGCCTTTCTCCTGTACCAGCACAACTGGGAGAGGAAGACAAATACTCGGCTGCTGCAGGTAGGGCTACGAAAAGAAAGGGTCTTTGTACAGCAGCTCCAGCCCAACGTTTCTACCCAGCCGATTATACTTACGTTGCTGCTTAAAGGCAGCCTCCTTCCTAGAGCTATCACAGGCTTTCTGCACTAACTGTGGGACTAAAACCAAGTGAAATTCAGAAACTTCAGATAAATACTTTAGTCAAGCAAGGCCAAAAAAAAAAAATTAAAAAAAAAAAGGTAACGGTAATACTGAACACATGATTTGGGGATCCAAAAGAAATGGTATTCTTAAGGCCTCTTACCTTCATACAGTACTTCTGCGTTCAGGTCAGGTAACATTTCCGCTTTTGCCTGTTGTTGGTTTACTTGTGAAGGCAAATTACTTTGGGGAGATGCAAGAGATCCCTCCTTGGTGCTGTCAGGCTGAGAACAACTCCCTACAGATGAAAGTCTGTAGGTCTGCAGTTTCCACAGAAGAAAGTCATTTCTAGAGGGCAGCACAGCCAGAGGGCAAAACACACGACATGTCCATGTTGCATTGCTGCCACGGCTCAGCTTCCGAGAACATTCAGTAGCGTGGGCTCTTTTCAGCAAGCAACACCATCGGGAGACCTGGCGAGCCCACAAAGCCATCTTCCTTGTCAGTATGGCATCCTGCTAGAAGAGAAAGGACCAAGGAGTAAAAGAAGCGCTGGCCTCACCTCACCCACAGGGCAGGGAGTTGCAGCACTAGTTAGCTAAGCATTAAAGGAGAGGTTAGTAGCTACAAAACATCGAGTAGCTGTTTTAGAGCTTCAAACACAAGACAAACGGGAGAGCCATAGCTGAGCACCACAACCTACTGGCCTGTACAAAAGCCATTGCCATAGGTGGACTTCTAGAAGCAGGGGAGAAAATCGAGCAAGGCCCTAAACCCTCCCACAAGGGCAACTCAAGGCAAAGGGCACTCGGCGCAGGGCAGCCTCCTCACAACCTGGCCCAGGGCGAGAGGACGCTGCGCCGCACTCCCTGGCCCTTGTAGGCCACCCCAGCCCGCCGCCCCTGCCTCGGGCCCACGTGAGGGCGCGGCGGCCCGCAGGCACTGGCCCAGCCACCCGGGCGGCGACCGTTGGGACCCACCAACGCCTCACCTACCCCACGCCCCGCTCCCCCGCCCGG